ATGTATGAGTCAGCAGTGAGGGGGAACTTCGGACATTGATTCTGGATCATTCATTCATTGTTATTATTATTATTATTGCAAGAGGAATAAGATTGGGGGAAGTTGGAAGGAGGAGGAAGGTGGAGAGAGAAGGGGGAGTTGTCATTTGTCTTGCTGGTGTACCTCTTCTTCTTCTTCTTCTTCTTCTTCTTCTTTCTCTCTCCTCTGGTCCATATCTCTTCGCAAGTGCTTTCATTTCTTTCGCAATTTGGTGGCATTGTCTTTCATTGTGAATTGCACTTGGGAAATGACCAGGATCGTAACAATCGGTGTTCTAACTCTCGCTGCGGAGAGCAACTCTCGCTATAGATTCAGACTAGCAGTTTATCTATGGCTGTACCTTCACTGTGCCGTGCGATGTTCATCTATAGACGTTTTACTGTTGTGAAAACGTTGTGCAACGTTTAGAGTATAACTGTTGGTAAAAGGCCGTAATGAACAAATAGTCAAACGTGCATATCTAAGGGTGTACAATTGTACCTCCACTGTGCTGTGCAACATCGTCGAATTTAAGAAAAAAACGAAAAACGCCACCTTGAAACAATAGTAGAACGAGCATCTATACGATTCTATAGATGTGCCTTCACTGTGCTATGTGAAAACGTTCATCCAGTCGTTGCACCATAGTAGAACGAGTGAAAGTCAGTTCAGCCATCCATAGCAAGCACTTTCCATAGTGAGTACTATCCATAGCAATTGCTGCTCTCTGAATCAGACAGTTCAAGTCTGGATGGATGGACCTTGCTGCTCTCCGAATCAGACAGTTCAAGTCTGGATGGATGTACACCTTCACTGTGCTGTGCAATGTCCATCCATGCGTTGCACCATAGTAGAACAAGTGAAAGTCTATTCAGCCATCCATAGCAAGCACTTTCCATAGCGAGTACTATCCAATACCAATTGCTGTCCGAATCACACAGTTCATGTCTGGATGGATGTACCTTCACTGTGATGTGCAACGTTTAAGGAAGAGGCCAAAATTTTTCGAAAACTTATCAAAATGAAAAAGGGAAAAAAAATGATGACCCTCGTGTTTTTCCAATCACCCCCAGCAGTGACTTGTAAAACTGCACATCTGTTCTGATCAGTTTCATATCTGATGATTCTGATCCCAAAAAAAAAAAAAAAAAAAAAGCTTCTCTGCATCCAATATCTCACCTCGGCTGTTGAAGAGGACTTACTGGTCGTCCAGAGAGCACACAGTCCAGAGCTTGCCTCAGGTCCCTGACATCACAAAAAAGTCACAACAAAAAAAAACATCATTCAATGCAAAGTCGATCTACTCGAAATAAAAGAAAGTATATGGAAATAAACACAGA